TCGCTGTCCGGAGTGCTGCGTTCTGACAAGTCTGTAGCTTCGTCCACGTTTAGAACCGGCCGGCCAATTGCCTTGTATGTTGCCAGCAACGTTTCTTTGTCTTTGCCCCAAGTGCTGCCGGCGAGCGACTCGAGGACCTTGTTGCGGCTCTGTACTTTATTGACAACTGCGGTTGTGTGCGTGGAGTAGGAGAGCAGGCTATCGAAGGGGACCCCTAAAATTTTCGGGTTGTTTACAGTCGGTGTTGGTGTGCCATCGACGTGTATGCCTAACTCTAGCCTGACTTCCTTCGTCCAGGTGGTGAAGAGGGTCGCCGTTGATTTCGTTGGGGAGAGTGTTAGGCTCCTTGCAGTGCAGAAGCGAGAAAGGCTGGAGAGATAGTCGTTCACTTTTGAGCAGAGGTCATCAATTCCATTCCCAGACGCCAAAATCGAGCAATCGTCAGCGTATGAGATCAGGGAAACTCCCTCAGGTGGAACCCCTTGTTTGGTGTGGAACCCTTGTTTAATCCTTCTTGGTTTCGAGGTTTGATCTCGGAAGATTACGGACCACTCATATAATTCGCCGACCATCGCTTCAGTCCGTGGGAGTGAGGAGGCCTCGATTTCTTCTAGTAGCGTGGAATGGCAGACGGTGTCAAACGCCTTTGACAAGTCTAGCGCTACTAAGACCGTTCTCTCGCAGGGGCGGTTTCGATTTAGGCCACGAGTTATTTGGGTGTTGATGGCGTTAAGTGCTGTTGTTGTGCTGTGCACTTTACGGAATCCGTGCTGTTGCTTCGCTGGGGTCAGGTGGCAAGTGAAGTATGGGAGTAGTAGGGCCTCCAGCGTCTTCGCGACCGGGGAAAGGAGCGTTATCGGGCGATAAGTCTCCTTTGTTGGCGGGCTTCCCCGGTTTCAGCAGTGGGACCACTCTCCCTGATTTCCACACATCAGGAATGATGAGAGTGGCCATGGACAGGTTGAGGACCTGCGTTAGGTAAGCTACTCCCTTAGGCCCTAAATGTTTTAGCATCAGCATACAGATTCCGTCGGGTCCAATGGCTTTGGAGGCTTTCGCCTTCCCGATGGCCCCCTTCACTTCACAGCTGGTGAAAACAAGTGGTGCACTGTTTTTTTGGCAGCTTGTGCAGCCTCCTGGTCACTCGACGTTTGGCCTTGTCTACCGAAGGGTGCAGTGTAAATTGCCTACTAAAGTAGGCTGCTGTCGGGTCCGACAAAGCGCGACCTTCGAAAGAGATTTCCACTCTGTCATCACGCTTCGTTGGGTTGGACAGGGACCTCACGGTTGACCAGAGCTTACTCACACCAGATGTAAAGTTACAGGCCTTCAAGTGCTCCTCCCACTTTTTCCGCTTATGCTGATTTACCAGTTGCCAAATCTCCAAATTAAGGTCCCTCAGACGGGGGTCCCCAGTGTCGACCTGGCGTAGGTGGTCACGCTCATTTGCTAGTACAGCTGCTTCGGCCGGGAAATTTGGGCGGACTTCCGCGATACGTCCGGACGGGATGAAGCGAGCCGCTGCGGCAGTGACTACCCTGCGGAACTGGCGTTCGCCAGTATGTATGTTTGTGGGTGTGGGAAGGGCGGCGAAGCTGCTCTCGGTGACTTCCGTGAAGCCGTCCCAATCAGCTTTGTTGAAGTTGGTGTAGGTTCGGTGGTCCGCGGGAGCAAAGTCGGTGGGCTTATTGATCGAGATGATTATGGGTAGATTGTCTGATGCTAGTGTTAGCATAGGTCGCCATGAGATGCTATTGATCAAACCAGCGCTAGCAATTGTGAGGTCTGGCGAGCTGCTGCAGCTACCCATAATCCTGGTGGGGGCGTCGTCGTTCCTGGTGCAGAATGTCGAATCGTCTATCTGCTCAGCCAAAAGGTTTCCCCTACGATCAATGGCCAGGCTTGAGTGCCATAGGTCGTGGTGCACGTTGAAGTCACCTACTACCATTCGGTTTTCACCTCTGAGTAGCGTACCTATGTCAGGGTGATATCCTGCCGGGCAGCAGGTGACAGGGGGTATATAAACGTTAAATATTTCGAGCTCGACATCACCTGACCGGACAGCTATGCCCTGACATTCTAGGGTGGTGTCCCTAGGGTCGATGTCTTTTTCGATAAGCCGATACTGCGCTGTGTGGTGTAAGATGAACGCTAGTCCTCGCGATCTTTACGGAGCAACGGGAGGTTTGCTGCTGCCCAGAGGAGCTTCTCGGAGCCGTGCGGGCTCTTCGGGTGTTGGGCGCGTTGCGCAAGCGGGTAGCAGTGGAGTCTGATTGTGCCGTTTGGCTTGAGCAGCAGGGAGCTACATAGCTTGTGGTCCACTCCCGATGAGACCTAAGACCAGAGCAGGTTCTTAGGTGACTCCATCCGTTGCATGAATTGCACCTAACCGAAGTGGAGTTTGGATGGAGTCGATTCTGGCCAACACAGCAGAAATACGTTTCTGGTCCGGGGTTGGGCTCTACGCCCGCCCGGAGAAGAAGGATGCGGAGCAATCCGGCTGCAAGGAATTGCTCCATGGACGAACAATGATTGAGGGGTATCGCCGATCTAAGCGGGGTTAGGTCGCCGAAACAACAGACCTTGGTCGGGTAAAACCCGAGTCATTCCGGTACGTAGAACCGGCTGTCTTGGGAATGAAGATCAATCTTTCTCTCTAGATTTGCTAAAGATACTTCTTCGGATGATATAAAGTCATACATATCGACTAAAATTAGAACTAAAGAAGTATTTATTCGTAAATTTAATTTTAAATACGATCGCGATATTTCATCTTTTAAAATTGATGTAGCTTCCGAAGATTTTGATTCACTACTAAATAGTTCATTTTGGCCGACCGGGGCGTTTGTTCGCGAGTGTGAGTATAAACCTAATAAAAGTAATAATAACATAGCTAAAATTTCTAATCCTAACTCGGATTCAAAAAACTAACTCGCAAGTCTAATTTAAGTTTTTACTATCAAAACGTTTGAATACCAAATTAACTGACTTATATTTAAAAGGTTTTGACTGCAATTATAATATTATTTCCTTGACCGAAACATGGCTCAATTCTCATATTTTTAATTCCGAAATTCTTCCAAATGAATATCAAATATACAGGAGTGACCGCGTGGGCAGAATCGGCGGTGGTGTTCTTTTTGCGGTGCATTCATCGATACCATCCGAGGAAGTTAGTCTTCCTGTCATTGAATATACCGAATTTAAATGTATACGTGTACAGGCTGGAAAGTCTTATATTTATTTAGCTCTTTGCTACATCCCTCCTTATTCTGCCGTATCAGTATATATGCAGCTAGTTTCTTTACTTGAGACCGTAAATGCAATGCTTACGGCATCCGATTCTATGATTGTTTTGGGCGATTTAAATCTGCCACACATTTCATGGAACATCATTGACATCGATGTTGTACCAGTTTCATCTAGAGATAGTTACAATGTATTTCTGGAGGAAATGGCTGAACTTTGCCTCAAACAAATAAATATATGTCCAAATAAGTTTGGAAAGGTCTTGTATCTCGTTTACGTTGATGATGTTCCGAAGGCCTCTATTAATCGGTGTGATCCCCAGTTTTGCCGGAAGATGCATACCATCCTGCTCTTGAGTTAAGCTACGAAATCATAAATGATAAGTCAAGTTTAAGTACTAGATATGTTTTTGCGAAAGCAAATTTCAGGAAAATTAACA